TACACTTTCGTTTCACCAATATCTTTTACAATTTACTGTATTCCCGTACACTCATCATTAATCATAGCATAAAAGCGCTCGGTACTTTTTCATCTTTCCTCAATAAAGCAAAAAGCAAAAAGCAAAAAGCAAAAAGCAAAAAAAAAAAAAAAAAAAAAAACGAAAAGAAATGAAAATTGTAGACGCAAATTTTTCATTTCAGTCAATTCACGCACCAACGCTATCGTTAAAATACATTAATCTAAGATTAAGTTTACAAATAATGTATTGCAAATTAAAAGAATAAATTTGGTGAATATCTTACGTCATACATTAAAATAGCGCCAATTTCCTAATCAACGTCAAATCATAAAATGATCTTTCGAAAACTCGCAATTTATGAAATTCTACTAAATTTTCATTTAAAATTCAAATTAAAAAAGCTTCGAGACTTCGTTTAATATTTATTAATAATACATTTATCAGCAAGCAAAAAAATAGTATTTTTCATAACTCAGGGATTTGCCTCGCCGACTATAGTCAACGTTAATAATTCCGATAAAATTTTAAATACACAACAATACAATGAACTACGCTCACTAAGCGTCATTTCAAAATTTGAATTGCATTTGAGCAAATGTTGCAAAGTAGAGTAAAATACAAAATATTCGTTACGCACGACAAAGATGAAAATCTCCCTTAATTTGAGTTTCTTTGTAAATAAAAAAATTTCTACCCTGCAGATCTTTTAACACTTGCGCAGAAATTTTCCACAATCCTTCGAGACCACCATTCGACCATCCAGACCACCCATTCGCGCCACACCATACTTATATCATCGAAAATTCCGCTCTAAACCGATCCCGAGTTAATTTTCCCAGCTTCGAAAAGCGCCTAAAGTGACAAAGTATGCCGCCCCTTTGGCGAAAGTCTCCGACGGAAATGTAGATTGATGGACAGCTATACGGATAAGCCGTGTTTTACTAGAATTAAATCTGCGCCGCCGCCGCCGCCGCCGCCGCCACCCCCCCCCCTTCCAATCGTCGCTTCTCTCCCTCCAGCCAAACAACGTATAAGGCGAAATTTCTGTGGCTGGCACTTGCTTCCCTTCCTCTTCATCTTTCTCACATTGTGTTTATGCGTAGGTATAAGTATTATAAAGATAGAGTGGGCGACTTCTCGGGGATTATCGACAAATCCAAAAGAGACTCAATTTTTATCGCAACACATTTAATCGGAAAGCAGATTTTTAGTTAAAGAAATATATGCAATCGCTTTACAAGTTAACTTGATATTTCATACATCGTTTAACCGCACTCGACACAATAAAACGCGCCCAAGCATTTATTAAAATATTTAAAATTATGATTATTAATATTGTTATTCGTGCGTAAGTAGTAGATCAAGTAGGATTAAGTGCAAATACATGGATAAACAAATCGGAAAAATATGATAATGTATAGTGGCCAAACGTAAATACGTTCGAGGGATTTTATTTGTATTTAGCAGAGCGTGTATCGAATGCCAATATTTAAGACGTACATTTGTATAAATATATATTAATTTCATATAAAATTATTCATTGCGTGTGTTGAACATTGAAAATATTAATCGATAACATTATAACGATTATATAATTATTACATTATATTTAATAGTTATTTATCTGTATCAACCGAATTATGAATGTTTCGCATTTATTGTTATTATTTAATTATTTATTACGATCAATAAATGGCTTGGGTAGACATAAACTTTTATACTCGAGAAATATGACGAGTAAATAAATACAAAGCATAGAAAATTTAATATACACGGCAATGGTAAATTGTTGTTCGGTAAATCGAGCGAGTTGGCATGGAATTATGTCTAAGCCAAGTGTATGAATATCAATAGTTTAAATTCCGCAATATTTCGAGAAAAGGATTGATTCTCGTGGGCACAGCTTGAGAGCGTATTAACCGTGAAAAGAAATTTTAAATTAATAGGCTTTAAAGACAATTACATACGCTCCCAACATTCATTGTCCTTCGAGAATATTAAAACATACAATGCTAGAAATACTCCTGCTTCATAAAATATTGAATTTTTCTTTAACAAATACGTTTTATGTGTAATAAATACATACTGCCATAATTACCATAAACTAAAAATTAAACATTATAATGAAGAATATAAACAATTTTTACTTATAAAGCATAATAGACAAGACTTGGAAGACCTGAAATACAACGGAAATCACGATAAACTATACAATTGGACATCCAAACACTAACAGCATTAATGAAGAAAAAAAAATTCTACCATCTTTTTATACGAGGACATATAAAAAGTATTTTCTCATGAATTACTAACAAACACAATACATTCACGTCTACACCAAGAATTTCAACTTAAAGTGACAGGTCTTTTTGACACTCCGACACTGGGACATTCAACTCCATATATCTATTATTACTTACTGGTCGAATGTAACAAAATCTCAGAATAACAAATTATATCTCGTATACGCGCTAATTAGCTCTATCCATCGCCGTAAATATCAATAGAAATGTCGCATGGGAACCAATTTTATCCGACAATTGAACATCGAAAAATACATTAAAATGCTTAAAGGACCTTTTAATACAAATCGAAACATTATTACTGCACTCGTAAAGAAGAGTAAATATAATTTTCAACATTGATAACAAAGCAATACTACGTACCGATAAAAAAATGAAGAAAGAAAAAAAAGTCTATTTTATCGGTAGGATTAAGAATATAAATTAAGGCAAATGTAAATTAAGAGCAAAAGAAAAAGCTTAAAAACATGCACACATTATACGTAATTAAAACACGGATAAATTAATTTTTTGGTTATCGTTATACGATTATTATTTTGTTGCGATAATATTAATGCAATAAATTTATAAACCTAATGTATCAAATTGCAATTATATTACAAGTGAAGACCAAAACAATAATATTCTCATAACCGTAATCTATACGAATTAATAATATAATAGGCAACAATTTTACAACTCTCTCAGTCTCATTTAATACTTACAAAATTAACTCAATACGAACATTAATAATTCACATTATAATTTCAGTATAAAATAATACAAAATTTTGAAGGTAGATAATGTTGTACCAACCAAAAAATGTAATCAACAAATAAGAGTAATAATAAACTTTCATATGAAATTATATATATATATATATATATATTATTATTGAAAAATTAAAATGAAAAAGTAAGAAAAATAATAAAAATAATCGTAAGAAATCAAACGATGAGAATATATTATTCGAAATAATGGCAAATGATAGAAGAATGACACGATATTTATTTAAATTGCTTAGAAAATGCTCCAAAAATAAAAAAAAAAAAACAAAAATAAAACAAAAGATTATTATAATAATTAAAAATATATAAAATTATAATATAGATAACGAGTCAAAAAAAAAATTGCTTTTAATTTTATAATCTTTCTAAGACATTTGTTCATACCAATTTTCCTTGCATACAATTATTAGAAGAACTAAATGAGAAAGATGCAAAATAATTAAAATAACAATATACATGTATCCTAGATATAAGAGCAAAACATATAGCTGAAAATCAATATTAATTGAAATTGTTAATAGTAAAATATCAAAGAACTACGGTATAACAAATAATTATAAATATTTTTATTGATACGTAACAACTAGTATTGAATTAAAAAAAAAAAAAACAACAACAACAATATAACAACAATATAACAACAAATTGACGATAAATACACACGTAATAATTATAAATATATCTATGCAGGATAAACCGTAAGAGAATATATGTTGAATATGTAAACTTTTAACGAGATAAAATTTTGTTCGCATTCCGGATATAATGAAAATGTGTAAAATACTTAGTCATTTATATTAGCATAGGAAAATAATATTAAAAATATTAAATGTAAAGATATATTCTTTAAATTGTTTTAAAATATTGCTTTTACAATAAACATACGACGTATAAAGAAGTATATGTAAGTAAGTACGTTAATAAATATCGCAGAAAATATAAATAAATTATATAATAAATATACAACACTATAAAAATAAAAGGATTTAAACTAAATTTTTAATAATTTGAAATAAATATAAATTTAAATAATTACAATAAATTATAAACAAATGATATAAACAAACGAATAAAAGACACATTTATATATTATTCATGTAGATATATATATATATATATATATATATATATTGGAAAGAATTTAATTAGATAAGTTTAAAATTAAATGTTTTACAATATAATTTGGATATTCATAATTATTAATAATATGAGAATGAATAGAAAATGATTTCAATTTCTTTTCATGCCCAACGACACCTCACATAACCGAGCAAAAAAATAATATTACCTAACTGTATAGGTTTAAGCACAAACTCAATGTGACATTGTTTATGAACTTTTAAGTGTTAACAGGATTTGAGCAAATGAATATCACATTCATGAATCAGTAGATAACGACACTGTTTAATTACATGATTTTTTTTTTTTTTTTAATAACAAAACTCAATACTCGATTAATTTGAACGTTAAGTATCGATTTTTCCTTTATTAAACTAGATTTTAAAACTATTTACTAATTCAACACAAAACCTTTATAATAATAATAATTAATAATAAATAATAGATTTTAGTGAATATTCGAGTGAAGATAAATCAAATAAAAAAATAATCAACAAAAATCAATTGATAATATTCTTAATATCCTAATGATCTTTTTTATATTTTCAATAAATAAAAATTTCGAATGTAGATATAAGAAAATTTTATTTCGAGCCTATTTCAGAGCAATAAAAGTGAAAGGAATATACATAATGAGCATGGACGCTGAATTGATTACGGTCATTATGAATTCTCATTACCATTTGCCGAATCATCGGCTATTAATTTTTTAAACAAATAAAAACATGCATAGCTCAAGGTAAGTCAAAATAAATTATTCCATCGGTTCCACTGCATACAATCGATTACATTAATATGAAAATTGTCTTACATCTATTCTCCTGTGCATTGAAATATGCAAAAATGTAAAATTCAATGAATAATTATCATGGATATTAATTATTCTTGTACAACTCACCTTTCCAGAAGCCCGTGAATTGCATAACAGGACACCAGCTGCATGTATCCTGTATTCCTTGTCCAGTTGTTCGTGTTGCGCTTGTATTTTGCTGTAGGAATAAACGATGTTTAAACGTGAAATAACAATAACAAAAACAAAAACACAAAACGTCGATCTTAGGCTTTACTATTGTGCGTTAATGCTAATTTAAAAATCATATGCAATTTTTTTTTTTTTTTTTTTTTTTTTCCCCGGTTAAAGCAGTTTTTAAGCAGTGCATTGGATTTTGATCGATTAGCGCGATTCCACGTTTTCATATAATATCGGAGTTGATAGAATTCTTTGATTGATAATGAAATTTAATTTATAAATTTCAATTAAAATGCACAATGCAATTTTACAAAGTTGATTACAAGTGTCTGCTGAAATTGTAAATTACAGTTTTCTGCTTATTAAAAATACCGATTTTTGAAATCAAATTTTTACGATAACGTTTCGGAACAATAAAAATACAGTTTTGCGATCAATGTCGTATGAAATTTACACGGCCCATAAATTTTTTTCAACAACTTCATCTCGAAAGTTACTGTTTCGACTAAAATTTTTTGTTATTCTTATGGTTTTGGCTAATCAAATAAAACTTGTCGTGCATTATCTAACTTTTATATTTCTTTCATCGAAGGAAATAAAATTTTTTTCTTCGAATCGCACTATTAATAATAATAATAATAATAATAATAATAATAATAATAATATAAATAACGAAGCGTATTCTTTTATTGTTTCGTAAAATATCGAGCAAATGGATACGAAAAATTGTAAACTATGCGTAATGAGTATCTTTTATGTTTTATATGTTTTGTAATATTTCAAGAATTTTAAGCTCTTAAAACGGAAAAAACTACTCGTAAACTATGTATTATTTTCCAAAACTAATTCAGCCATAATGCTTAATAAAATTATACTTATTATTTCAAATTGATTTTTAAACGCTTGTTTTCATGGTTAATATACACGAAGATGCTTTTAACAAAGTGTATTTTATATTTGAATTTGTAGAAATTTTAGAGCATCTCTCTCTCTCTCTCTCTCTCTCCCTCTCTCTCTCTCTCTCTCTCTCGTGATTAGCTTAAACATCATAACTATGAAAGTACATAAAGCAGTAATATTATTTATTGAAAACGATAAAATAATTTTAGCTCTAAAGTCTATCAAGTTAAAGTTGCATTGTTGATTAATATTATTTCTTAGCTGATGACATCATTTAATCCCAATGTTTTTTACATTCGAATTCATTGGGGAGGAAAATTTTGTTGTTTTCTTCTTACTTGATCTTTCATACAGTTTTGTAGAGTCGATGGCAAACATAAATACGATATAATTAAAGATTTATTTTTTTTTTTTTTACAATTCATTTAGACGAATAGACACAAGCATTTTCATGTATCTTTATATAATTTTATAATTTTACATTGCCATCAAAACTATTAAAATTTGAATAAACACGTACATTTGTTGTAAAATACTTGTAGCCGAAATAATATATATATATATATATATATATATATATATATATATATATATATTTATATATATATAACACGAATTATATATATTTTTAAATAATTTCATAATACGAATCTCATAGAAGCTTATAATACCTTTGATATATTTTACAAGCATAGAATTAAAAACAAATGCGATACAATTGCTGTTATAACGTGTATTAGCAAAATAAAAAAAAAATATCTCTTAAAGCATAAACGAATACACGGAATTAAATTTCATGAAAAATTAAAAAGTTAATTAAATATGTAAGAATATGTCGAACTTAAATTGACTTGTGTTATTCATAATATTAATATATCTTTAACAAACCTTAAACGCCATTGATTTTGCGCACAAGAAGAATTTGCTAATTCATCATAATTGAGATTGATTCTCGACGGTCAAATAAGTCATTAGCAATCATTAAATGATATTAAAAATTTGAATTACAATGATGAATATCGATAATAAATATGAATGTTAATTTATCGCAATTGAAATGAAATTCTTTGTCTAAGATCTTTTCCAGTCAGAAATCAACAATTATATTCGGCATAAACTCAACCGATCCAAGCTTTCATCGGGAGTCCGTTTATTATTAATTTACAAATAATACAGCCGTTGAAAGCTATTTTTTAATAAGCCTTATCCTCACGGCTAAATAAGCGTTCGTCCAACGGAAGCATACAAGTTTGATTTTTAAGAAAACGCGAAATTTCTCCTCCAGCCTTTGTAATATATCAACTCGTCGAGAGGCTACCAGAGAGAGAGAGAGAGAGAGAGAGAGAGAGAGAGGCGCCACGTTGGATCCTTTAAGCAGAGGGCCACAAAGATGGCAATTCAATTAGGAATTTTATGACAATCGAATGGGTGTGTCGACCGGCAAAGGATGCGTGCGCGCGCGCGTCTGTGCGTATTAAAAAACAAACGTTGAACCGAGAAAGTATGGACGTTAAGGTGCCGACAGGTGAGGGGGAAGGGAGGTGGACCCTAGTAACGTGGGCGGATGCTAGTGGTAGTATCGCGAGAGTTAGGGCGTGGGTGAGGTGGGGGATAGGAGGTCTGTACTTGACTCACGATATGGCGTGGAGTAACTCCTGGCGCTGCTTCTCCTTCACTTTGACGCTGCCACCCTCGGCCAGGGCCGCCTGCAATTCCCGCTGCAACACCGCCAGCTTGCGTCGCTCGGCCTCCAGCAATAACGAAGTTACCTGCAAAGCAGACAGAGTCTTTAAAATTTACCGACCGATGGCATTGTTACCTAGTGCGGCCGATTCCACGGACGACTAAATAATATTCAAACGGCACTACGTGATTTGCGTAGACCGTACGCGCTTACGACTATAGAATATCAATTATCCGGTACGTAATATCTTCTTTTGGTACCGAAAATAGATCACTCGACTTGGCTTGTGGCGGCGAGAAAGGGGCCGACGGGGCGAGGGGCCGAGGGAATTTCACTATAACCAAACATTTTAATTATGAAATGTTAGCATTTTATTATTCATTTTTAATAAAAATAAATTTTTAATCACTTTGTTAATATTAGTTTCTCGGGATATAATGAGGAAATAGCGGGATTCCGGTGGGATAGGCGGCTTTACTCTGCATTATTATTATTTCTGCTTGATATTGATATTGAAGAGTCAATTTAAAGCAGAGCTTACATAAAAAGTTATGCTTCGCTTTTCAAAGTGTAAAAGCACTTTCCGGAGATATTTCTTTATAGATAAATATTCTCCCTGGCAATTATCTTCCTGTCATTTTCATAATAATTAGTAATATGCATTAGTAAAGCATCGATTTAATAAGTATAAGTTGTGAGCTATCGATGAAAAATGCAAAGTATACTATTAAAATATCAAATACATAATTAAAATTAACTAAAGTTAACAGTTTCATTAATTCACAGCCTCGATGTATTGATAGATTAATGATAGGAATATGTTAATTAATTGAAAATGTTTGGCAACTTTATTTGTAATATTTAAACTGCATAACGTAAAATGATTGTTAAAATTATTCTTCCATCAAGATTATTCCATAATTTTTTGAATACCTTTATTACAATCATTTTTCGCTTTTTTTCTTTTTTTTTTTTTTTTTTTTTTATTAATTTTATTTTAAAGCTTCGAAATAATGTAAGATAATTATAATCGATAAAAATGTCGATAAGGTAGCAACTACGACAACAATTTACGATTCAGACTCCCTACTTTAACTAAAGTCGGACATATGGGAATCTTCTTTAAGCTTCACAAGTATTACTTGCTTCGCGCTAATTTGCAACAGAGGCAAGCTATGAGTATTCTTTATTCTATACTTTTCGAAATTGATTCTTATAATATTAGTTTGTATATTAATTGTTATTGTTTGGAATATATATGTATATAAATGGAAACACTAATTATAATTATAAAGATGAATGATAATTAATCAAGGAATGAATATCGATTTCATTAATCGAAGTTAAGCTCCAATCGATTATTATATAAATACATATGAAATATTTACTTATTTACCTTTGAAAATTTAACGATTTATTTTATTTTCTAAGGTGTCTTCTACGAATGCATTGAAGAAGAAGAAAAAAAGAAAAATTACTAATAATTAAGAGAGTATAAATTTGTTCATCTTAGATTTACAAAGTATCAAAGACTTTCCTATTCTTAGAACGTTGTTATAAAAATGTTTGCTCGGTGAATTTATATTATACTCGAGTGTAAGTTAAATGTAGAACTTATTCTGTCATTTCCTCACTTTTATGCAATATTTTTTATGAAAGAATTAAGCTCCGAACGCTATATTCTAGAGTTCGAATCTATCAGCAATGATTACAGTATTACTTGAATCGAAAGGAAAGTTACTTTCTCAATTATGTTTAAATACAAAAAATTATAACGAAGCATACGAATGCTTTTATTCATTGTTTAATATTTATATTAATATTAAAATAAATATTCCCTTCGAGTACGTGAAATTCTCATATATACTCTAATGCTTATGAAAATTATGCCACATTGTAAAATAATGCCAATGTAGCTCAAATCGTATAATTTAATTTATAATTTACCCCATATGAACTTGTCATGATAATTTATAGTCGTAATTCAAACACAATACATAATGAACAATCAAACAAATTACACATCGTTACGTATAAGCCCTTCACATCCGGTCACAACTTTAAGACTTAAACTAATACTACAATGTTCGATCTTATATTCGCACGTGTACCCTACAATTACGTTGTACTATACAATTATCAACCTTCTCTTGACCGTCTTGTACTTACTTGTCCCGATGCATTTAATCGGCTTGTTCATACTTATCTTCCAAATAAATAATTATTACAAACGAATAAAATAATAAATAAATTTCACGTTAGGTAAGGATATATTTCATTATAATAGAAATTATAATGTCCCGCGTGATGAAATTGTCGCTCGATAATACAAAACGATAAAGAAACTCGAACATTTTAACATTCAATAACATTCAGATGGACAATTATGAGAATGGCAGCATATTAGTTTCAACTAATACAAATAGTAAAATTATATAATAAAATTATTCATTGTATAATGAGAGCATTAAATTTATATTAGCGAAAATGTAAATTGTCATGTAATTTATGAGAAAATTTATAATTTATAACAATTTATATTTTATTCTATAGTTTAATTTTATGATACTAAAATAATGACAAAAGATATTTTTCAATATTATTTCTTTATTTTTTAATTTAAATGTTAAACCATCAACATAATAATTAATTATTTAATAATTTTAGAAAATTTTAATTCACAATAATTAAGGCAATATTTTATTATTAATAATCAACGATTAATTAATAATTATTAAAATAGTTCATTAATCAAATATAACAGTATAAATGTTCGTTTACTGTATCTTACAATTTTATCTTATAATTATCTAATTACTTTAGTTAATTTACGCAATATATCCTAAGAATAATGATAAAGTATGACAGTCTTGAAATAAAAAACTGCTAAGATATTACATGAATTAATTTACATCCAATTCACCACTTGTTTATGTCTATTTATACTTTATGAATGGGTTATTATTATTATCACAATCTTGGTTTAAAAATTCTCTAATTAAATATTTGTCGAATTTTTTTTTTAGTAGAATAATAAGAGAAAAAAAAAATTAATAATTATTTCATTCATTGTTAATTAACATGTTTTAAATTAATTTTAAAGTAATTGACTTAAATGAATCATACTTAAGTGAATTGTTTCTCAATTTTTCATTAAAATTTCTGCAAATAAGTCGAATATCAATACTTATAATTATTTTCAATGTATTCTAGTACATTATATGTGTATCGGTAGAGCGAGGAGAACATAATTACCAATAATTTCTGTTTGATGATTATATCTTACAGTGTGCAATGATATACAAATATTTATATAAATATATATATATGTGTGTGTGTGTGTGTGTGTGTGTGTGTGTGTGTATGTGTATGTATGTGTGTGTGCATATGTATATGTATACATAATAATTATTGATAATTATGTTCTACTCGCTTTATTGAAATATATAATGTAAGCTAGTAAATATTGTAAGGAATTAGAAGTATTCAAAGAATTTGCAGAAATTTTAATCAAAAATCGAGAAACAATTGATTCAATAAGTTAGAAATAATGATATATAAAGTTGAAATGTAAATACTCGATATTAAGAAGTCGTTGTTGTTTCCATTAAGTTTAACGTCGGCTGAACGTTGGTATGAAATTTTCTTAATGCTATACATGCTATTAATTTTATATATAAATTAAATTTTAACAGTATTTACACAATTAAATTCAAGCAAACAGGATTGTTCTTTTTTTTTTTTTTTTTTTTTTTTTTTTTTTTTTTTTTTTTTTTTTTAAGAAAAAACTATAGATAAAATATCGTTAGAAATTGAGAAACTTTATGCAGATATTATGACTGGAATTTATTTTCACGAGTTAGGCCTCGATGGTCTTATTTGTTGCTTCCTATAATCACGTAACTTATTTCTCAAATTGCCCGCAACTTCGTGTATTCGATTTCTCGCTGCATATTAGCCAGAAAGTCATGAGAAGCAATATGTTTCGCGTATTAAGATCCGTGTAGCAACTCTAATAATGTATCCATGAAATATCCTTACAATATTCCCGTATCCGTTTTCAGTAAAAATTTCGTGTCTTTAATGGCAGCGTTCGCATAGCAACACTTTACCTGCGCGTGCACGTAAATAATAATAACAAAAGAATCGCTCGTCATCCAAAGCAATCAATTAAATAATGCGCGTCGATTGTAATGATAGTTGGACGGCGTGGCGGTGGGTGGGGCGGAAGGGGTCAGAACGGCGAGGGTTGCGATTATGCGGTGGCGGGTGCGGAATAGCCGTGGGGTGGAGGGCCGGGAGGGATATGCGCTTCGCAGATGACCACTTGCTTCTCATTGAACCGGGCAGGGCCGTAAAGAATAATGCAGAGTGATATACGAGTGAGTCGGTGCTCCTCGTAAAAAGTCCGGGCCCAAAGGAGCAAAGGCCTCCCCTCTAATTAACTCGGCGCGCTTACACGACCACGATATCCTATAACTGATTAGCTCGTATCCGCGGAATAATTCGTTACGCTCGAGTCGATCGGTTCTTTCCTTCGTTGGCGATTCCAACTTCGTCAGTCCGAGTCGCGATTTTACTAAACGTCCTCAAGACGCGATGAGGCTGTGCTGTTGTTCAATTGTTAATTAAAACTCCGTCGGAGTTGTCGGAGTGCCTAAGGTTTCGGGAGATACGACAATGATCGGAGGCATTGCATGGACTTGACGTGGACAATTAATTTCAATTTATAGAGCATAAAAGGATACAAAGAAGATTTTTAACGAGCCCCGCGCGACTGATGACAATTAAATCGGAGTAATTCGATAGTTGATGCAAGCGTGTGCTGCATGCACCGTACGGTGGAGCGATCGAGTTTTTGTAATAATGTACGTAAGGAAAATGTCGATAATCTGCTTTACGCTATTTATACAGTCGCAACGACTTTCCTGCGCCAAAGCCTGCGATTAACAAATTTTTCACGAGGCTAATTGTACTTTGTGTAGCATTCGTCCCAAGTCGGTTAAACATAAGCTTCGTGTGTGCCACATTAATCGGACTTTTCCATCGACCATTGAATATCACTTTGGATAAAATGAACAATTA